AAAAATAATCGATTTACAGATTCTAAAAAATATGCTTACTTTAAATAAATATAAAATGTAACTATTAGAAATACTTTCACTATATTCTACTAGAGATACGTGAATAATTGCTTCACTGAGACTGTTTGTGCATAACAGTCGGTAATCACATTACACTTCTTTTTTGCAACTATTTATTATTTATTTCGCTTCTTACAATGTTCCCGTCACATTTTGGATGTTGTGACGTGTTCTTTCTCAATTAAATCGTTTGCATTATACGGCTAGGCTACAGAACTTTAAAAGCATTAATCCAGACCAGATAAAAAAATAATTTGCTATAAAAAGTAAAAGTTGTCAGATAATCATTTTTTGTAAAAATACTTTGAAATTAAAAAAATGTTTTATTGGACATTCTATTCTATAACTACGCACAATTGAGTTTTCCTGAATTGGTTATTCCATAATAAAACTTAGAAATTTATAATCTGTCATTTAAAATCTCGGATATTTTTCAATCCTAGTTACATCCCGCTACGTATATTCAAACCCATGCACAATCGATCCAAACCGAACAAAACGTCTCGTAACCCAACAAATTGAGGTAGCCACTCACGCGCGGTTGGCAGCCCTGGCCGAGCCGGGCGCGGCAGCATTGTATCCCACCGCGTATAATATTAGCCACTTATCAGATGCAAACTCGTGTCAGAGTTTGGCTTACGCGCTGATAACAGCGTCGAGAGAATGCCCAAGCCCTTGTATTATTACTGAACAGCGGCCCGCGACGTGTGGTAAGCCGGAGGTATAAACTGGTACACGGATCCAGGATAGACGCTGCCCCCTTCCCAGAACTCGTTACTTGGCGCCTGGGAATATGTTCCAGGTCACCGATAAGTGACTCGAAGAAACGAACCGGGCTGGCTCTTTTCTCTTTGGAATTAGCACTTGTAAACTCCTTGGAGATACCGGTCAATGGTGTGCGACAGTGATAGCGTTATTACGGGACCACTTGACGTAGAGCGCGCTGTCGGTATTAAGAGTGGGAGTTCCAGGAACTAAAAGTGGAATTGAGAGAAATATATCTTCCGTGTTGGAAATCCTATTCTTATCTCATTTCACTTTGAATTTACGCTTTGGGTGATAAGCAGATTCTTTGCGAGAAAAGCACGCCTTGACAAGAAGTGACTTAATGCAAAGTTGCAGTTACAAAAATTCCAGGAATTAAATTAAAGAGAAAAGAAATAATATAGTAATGTTAAGCTTAGCCCTTCTTCCTTCTAGGAATTAAATTACAGAGAAAGCAAATAATATAATCATGTCTAGGTAAGTCCTTTTTAAGTATTACATTAATACTTTCAACTTAAGTTCCAGGCCAAGAAGTTCAGAGAAATAATCTACAATCATTATACTTAAATTGGATACGTTTCGGAGAAATTGGATGTATACACCCATGTTGGATACATTCCAAATGATGAATCAACAAAACGTCTGTATTACTAGTTTCAACTGCGAAACGAATTTTAGTATACAGCCTCCGCCAACGTCAGGGGTGTCTATGGTTTCCTTAGATACAAAATCCAAAAACAATACGACAGATTGGATGTTAACTGACAATGCAAATATTTGATTAGTTTTTTCGTCTATTTGCATACTGTGCGTAATGACCAGGGTTGCCAGATTGGAGAATTTTGTCGCCGAATAAGGAATGTTTTCGTTGTCGGGAAAATGGGAAAACATAAATGGACAGGTAAATGTTTGTTTTGTTCGGGTGGATTACATATTTTCAACCGGCGGAGAGATAGTAACATTATTCTCTCAATTATTGTGAATAAAAAAGAAACAACATTCGTAATTCTCTGTCATTTTTATGTAGCAAAAAGAGAAAAATAAACGATAGGCCTAGAGATAGAGAAACGAAAATAGTATAAGGTTTCGAGAACAGAGCACAATATCTCTCCTCTATGGTTTTGAGCAGCTCAAAGGGCAATGAATGGTTGATTTTAATTATTTGAATTTAAGGCGACAGCCGATGGGATTGTCAGGGACAGCTCATATTGGTCCATAATTTGGAGAACATATTTCGTCTGTAAGTTCGGGAATTTTGTTTCATTGTTATTTGAGGAAATTCCATAATAGTGGTGAGCAAAGAGCTGTCAGCAAAACTGGCAACCCTGGTAATGACTGATTTCTCAAACTCAGTGTGTCACTGCTTTTGGAACGGATATCATGCGAGAGCAAAGCTCTGAGGAAACTTTCACCTGCCATTAAACATTTTCTGTACACATGTGGCGATATTTAACACATTTTTTTTAAATTATGTGTTTATTGTGTAAAGAATTGTTGCACTGTATACATACTACACTATGTTATTGCAGTGTTACTGAAGGCTGTTTTTGTTACAATATTTAATTTATTGCAGTGTTGTACAATAGTATTATATTTGCTCTTGAGCTGAGTGCGTGCTACGTTTTGGAAAACCATTTTTTTGTGATTTGGTTGAGATACATTTTTAATGATGCAAGACACTAATATTGAATAAATCTGTTCAATTGAAATGAAAAATAACTCTGCTCTTCAATTTTTGTCTATTAAAAATGAAATTTTAAATTATTTTGTTGTAAAGTTCAAGCTTTTCCAACTAAACATAGCTTCTTGTACGGTTAAATTCCATTCATATAAATTCCTTTTTTTTCCAATTATTAGGAAGTATTGTCTTTACTTCGTGATGATTTTAAACCAATATATTTTTACTTCAACTTGGTATCGTAAACGTAGCGGCATAGTCAAAAATATGTGATACATGTTTATTTCAACAATTATGACAATGGTGACTGGACGCATTAAGCATAAAATTTATGCCCAATGCGTATTTAATAAACTTCAATAGTACAGCGTACATAATAAATTTCTGGTAAACTAATGGCGATACAACGGTTTTTTTTTTATATAATTGGAACGCCAATATAATGTTACAATAGCATTAGATTCGCGTGTCGATTGCATATGTTTTGGCGACCAGCGTCCGTAAATGAGAAAGTATTTCATTTTTGTGACGCGTCAGTTTAGTTCGGCAATTAGACTCGTGAGCGCAGCACATGTTTAGACACCCGAAGACGACGGAGTGTCTCCCGCAGTGTAACGATCTTTACGTCATATTGCGAGGTTTTTTGTTGTTGTTTTTTCATTGTTGCGTCTTCAATTGACGCAACGCGTCTCCAAACCCCTCGGAGGGCGTTCAGCGCTTTGCGATTCCGGAGTAATCCTCCGATAATATCAACGCGGAAGTAATTAATTAATTAATGGGGAGTAATTAAATAATTAATGTTTTAATATGTCATATCCGTCGCGTTTCATAGCAGTCGGTTGTCAAGAGAACCGCCAGGTAGCATTTTCGCGTACGCGCCCTTGCCTCACTACTGGCCAGAATTACGAAGGAATTAGGATTGGGGTAAGGATTAGGACAGTTCACAGGGGTTGGACTAGCCATGGTGAAGTAGGCGCGGTTTTGGTATTGTGGTGAGTTTTCGTTGGCATTACCAATGAAATAATTATATAAATCGTCTTTGCTAACAATATTAATACAACATTTTCAACAATATTGTTGGCAATGAGGACTTATATAATTAATTCAAGCGTGGTTGGCTACCAGTGAGGCATCGCCCCAGCTGAAAATAGCTCCCGACATCTCTGGTAGTGTTATGCTTGTAAGTGTAGAGGAAAGGAAAAAACATGGCAGTAGAAGGGAAGGTAACACGCGGTTCGTAGCCCGTTTGTTAAGGCACTGCTCCCGCATTCGTCTGTCACTGATCGGAGAAAACCACCGAACACATCAGCCGGCCGTTTGAATTCTCCTCCATACAGCAGCTGAATGCCACCTAGCAATTTAGCTAGAGTCGAAAGCAAAGCACCACCGTCAGCACTGTAGCCCTACAGACCTAGCAGTCAGCGGAGCTGCAGTAGCAACTCTTGCTGCGCTGAGCCATCTCGGCCGCCGGATGGCGGATTTATGGCGTCGCAGGGGGCCGTTCTTACGAGGAGGTAGTGACGGGCCACGGACGGCTGCTGGCCTCTAGGAGGCCGTGGAGGCGAGGCGAGGCGCGGTTCGCGTGATGAGCCGATGACGGCGGTTCAACCAACAGCTATCCACTGAAGACGCTGAGGGCGGAAGACGTTTTTCCATCGTTTACTTGAAAGAGGGCGATAGAAACTTGCTCCCCCGCTAGATATTAATTACTTTCTCTGTCTATTTAGAATAGTTGTGATGAAACTTTCAACGATACGCCACGTGTCTGGTGATCTTAACATTGCTTTCATTCTTTTATCCGGGGTCAACACCAATTGCAGATCATTATTACATTTAAGTCTTGCTTCTTCCCATTCCTTGCATTGATGCAAGGTGTGCATCACGTCGTACTTGCGCAACCGCATCTTCACAAAGAACACACATTATCATTATTATTATTATTATTTTTATTATTATTATTATTATTATTATTATTATTTTGTTTATTCTCAAAGTTTTTGGATTCACATGGATACCACACAGATACAAAATCAAAGCATGGTAACACAGACATATTTAAAATCTACAAAACAAATTAAGGCATTCAAACACATAAACATAAAATAACTGTTTTCAGATGTAAACATAAAATATTATTATTAACATTATTCTTAACATTATTACTATTATTATTATTTTAATTATTCAAGAGATAGTCTGATGATGCGGGTTGAAAGGACTAGGATGGTGGAGTTAGGTGTGGTAAAGGTCGGTAGGAGATATTCGTGGGATTTTGGAACCATCCCAGCATTCGCCTCATGACCAAGGGAAACCACGAAAAAACCCACGAATAGGATGGACGGCCCGGAAACCTCCGGCTTACGAATCCAGCGCGCAGTGAGAGCCACGTTGATCGGTATTATTATTATTATTATTATTATTATTATTATTATTATTATTATTATTATTATTATTATTTCCATTATTATTGTTATTATTCTTGCAATATTTATTTCTCTTATTGCATTACTGTCGGAAGACCTCGCATGGATCTCTCCGGGGCCGAGTGTCGCGCGTTCAAAGAGCGCTTAGCGCTTGGCCCCGAGGAGGACGAGGGCCCTCCAGCGATGACTGCGCGGCGCGGCGGGGCGGGGCAGTCGTGCGCATGCGCAAACGCGCCTTTGATGGCCGCGTGACGCGCGCAGATGCTCCGCGCGCGGGAGACGGCGGCGTTCGGAACATTAGATAGAGTTCGGCGGAAATGAGGCGATTCCGGCGCCGCTTCTAGGCGTAAGATAATATAATATAATGTAATATAATGTAATGTAATGTAATATAATGCAATGTAATATAATGCAATGTAATATAATGCAATATAATATAATGCAATATAATATAATATAATATAATATAATATAATATAATATAATATAATATAAT